GGTAGCTATGGTGATGGTGGTGACTGGCAGTGGTTATGGTGATGGTGGTGACTGGTGGTAGCTATGGTGATGGTGGTTCTGGTGATGTGATTATGATGGTGGTGGTAGTCATAATGATGGGTAGAAGAGATGGAGGTAATAATGTTGGTAGCCATGGTGTTGGTGTAGTAGAGATGGTGGTGATGGTGATGAGGTAGTGGTAACAATGGTGGTAATGGTGGCTGTCTTAGTTACATTCCTATTGCTGTCAAGAGACACCATAGCCAAGGCAACTTATCCAAACAAAGTGTTTAACTGGGGACATTGCAGGGAGACAGTCATTGGAGCCATAGTTGAGAGCTTACACCTGATTTGTGAACAGCAGAGAAGGGGGAGAGGGAGAGAGGAGAGAGAGAGAAAGAGAGAGAGAAAGAGAGAGAGAGAAAGGAAGGGAGGGAGGGAGAGGGACAGAGAGAGACAGGCAGGCTTGGTGTGGTCATCTAAAAGCTCACAGCCACCCCCAGTGGCGCATGTCTTTTAATAGGGTCTCTCCTCCTAATCCTTCCTAAACATTCCACCAGTCGGAACCAAACATTCCAATAGATGAGCCATTCTCATTCAAACCACCACAATGGCCATGGTGACAGTTGTGTATGTGTTGATGGTGTCAGTAGCCATGGTGATGGTGGTAGTGACAATGGAGATAATGATGGTGGTTGTGTTGATGGTGGCAGCAACAGCGTTGATGGTAGTGGTGGATTAGTGACGGTGCCAGTAGCCATAGTTCTGGTGACAGTGACCATGGTGCTGGTGGATCCAGTGGTATGCAGCTATGGTGATGGTGGTCATGGTCATGGTGGCAGAGGCAGTGGTGATGGAGTAGCAATGGCATCAGTGACAGTGGTGGAGCAGAAGACACACTCGCCAGTTTGGGCTTTGGGATGACAGCCATGTTGAATGCATGCACCTCTGTGCTGCCCCTACCCCTCTGTTCCCTGGTTTCTCCCCTTTCACTGTCTTTGGCGTTAGCGCTAATGGAATGATGGGGCCCACTGGAGTTTCCTTGGCTCGTGAACAAGGAGAAATGAGCAGGGATTTGCAGGGGCACCCAGGCGACATCTGGAGGAGGCAGTAAATTAGCACGAGGCAGTACGAATGATCCTTTCTCACTGTGGGTCCTTCCAGGCAGGCCCCATGTGGAAGGAAGCAGAACTTGGTACTGATGTCCTAGCTGCCATGGCGCTCAATGAACTGACTCTTTACAGGGTCCCCTGCAGTGCCCACACCCAGAGAGCAGCAGGGAAACGATGGCACAGACGGGCTGCAGTTCCCAGGTGGTTGTCTAACTGTGGGTCTCTCCTTACATTTCCCTGCGCAGGGTGGAGAATTTGTGTTTCTCACTATGTTTGCCTCAGGAGCAATAAGATGAAGTTGTATTTCCTGGACCACAGTGACTCCCCAAGGCACAGTGAAAGACTCAGGGGGAGAAGGAACCATCCTGAGGGTGTTCATGAGAACGATCAAAGCAGAGGAGACTGAGTCTTGGTGAGGAAGGAATAGTGGCTTCAGAGGGGAAAAGACAGCTCAGGTCAAGCTTATGGTTACTTCAGAAGATCTGCAACCCACACTTTCGCTGGGAACTGTGTTTGGGGAGGACACGCACTATTGAGACCGTTACATGCAGAGGTCTGAGTTTTCTGACGGGAGTTGCTAGCTCGGTCTGTGCTTCACAGGAAAAGCAAACAGACCCTCCTTCTCACTTAGGTCGCTCACTTTCTGGCTTTTCCTTAATCTGTCGGTTTCAGAGACCTGCACTCCTTTCAATTATTTCTTCCTGGGGAGCTGAGCTGGTAAAGTGCCTGCTGGGCAAGCACAGGGATCCACATAAAAAGTGGGTCACGGCCATGGGCAGCTGGAATCCCAGTGCAGGCCAGCCAATCAGCAAGTGCCAGGGTCAGAGAGAGGCCCTGTCTCATAGAGAAGGTGGAGAATGTGTAAGGAAAGCACTAACCACAGTTCCTGTACATATAAACGCATACACCACACACACTATAGACACACATACACAATACATTACACATATGTACACATATGTACACACTACACACACATATACACATTATACACACATTACACACATTACATACATACACAAATACATATACTACATACACTACACACAGTATACATACAAACACATGCTATACATATACTACACACACTAAACACATTACTCACACTATGCACACATACACATAATATGTACATATATAGCACACTACACACATATACATGTATACACACTACACACATATATACACATACTATACACATGCATAATACACACATATACACACACTACACACACTGCATACATATAGACACACACTACACTACACAATACACATACTACATGTTACACACTTACACACACTACATACATTACACACATTACATACATTACACACATATATGCACACCACAACATACATATACACACACTACACACATTATGTACTGGTTTTCTAATAAAAAGTCTGTAAATAGACTTGGGTGCTTCCTGTTGCCTTGCTCAGGAAATATAGCTCTTGTTAGAAGAAGGCTACAAGAGCCCCAAGTCCTGTGATCCTGAGAGTTGATGTTGTGTGCTTACTACTGGCCCTAGAGTACCAGAGGGAGAGGACTACATTCTCATTATCACCCTTGTCTAGCTGAATCGGTTGACCGTTCTGTGCACACAAACATGGAAGTATTAAAAAGCTTAGTTGTGTCCTGCAGAGTCTGACCTTTTCACTAGTCAGCGCGTGGTCTCACAGTTTGGGGTCTAAGATTACCTATCTCAGGTTGCTTTGGTCCATATCCTTGTTGAGTCCAAGAAATTTTCTC